ACAACCCCACTTGGCAAAACCTCGCCCGAAAACGATCCGTCGTCGACCTCGCCCACAATCCCAAGCCTTCGGGAGGGGGAGAAGAAAGGGAGGAGTTGAGACGCGGGGCGCTGTCTTTTCAAGACGAAGACCCAAGACCACAAGATAGTTAGGAAAAACTGAGAGGCCCAAAACGGCCTCGGAACGGCCCAACAAGGTCAGAACATGCCAAAACTGTCACAGAGGGAACCATGACTGACCCCATGGATCCCGAAGACTGCCCCCGCAGGAGTCCAAGACGGTCCCACATGCGGCGCAAACGAAAACTATGACAGCGTCGCCACCTCCTCCTCCTCCCTCTCCTCTTCCACACATGTTTATTCCCCCTCCTCCTCCTCCTCCTCCTCCTCCTCCTCCTCCTCCGCCTCCTCCTCCCCCCCCTCCTCTTCCTCCTCCTCCTCCTAAACAGCATCATCACCAGCATCATCGCCAGCATCACCATCCACAACAGCATCATCATCAGCACCACAGTCATCAGCATCAGCATCATTTCACTTGCCCGATTCCTGGAACTGCAACTGGATAGAGAGCCCCCCCCCACACACACACACAACCACCACCCTGCCCCACCCACCCGCACCCCTCGATCTTCATCACCCGCGCCGCCCCCTCCCCCTCCTGCCTCCTCCGTCATTTACGCATCTACACCGCCGCAGCTACATAGAGAGCGGGCATTCTGTTTCCCTTAGTAGCGTGGTCTTTCGTGTTCCTAGTTGATTGTCAGTCGGGAGGGCCCCGTGGATCGTCGGCCTGGGACATGGGATTCCTCGTGCATTTGACCATCGCCACATTGGCTCGAAACAAGAGGGGGCATCGGATTCCGAATAGACCCGCGCTTGGACGACCGCGAGAGTTGACAATGGCGCCTGCGATGTCGAAGCAGGAGGCGAACATGGCCTACGCTCTGATTGAGCGGGAAGTCCCCTTCCCCACGGCTGTTCTCCAAGACCGCGCCCCTTTGCAGTGCAAGATGAGCCAAGCGCACGCCCGAGCAACCTCGGTTCACCCTGGCTGCGCCCACGCTCACATGATCGCTTTGGCTTCTTGACGGCTCAGCGCCATGAGGAAAAACAACTCCAATATGCTGGGGTTGTTCCCTAACCTGCTGATGATCATCACGGGAGCCACGGGGGACGGGAAATCCATCCCGCTGTGGCTGGACACCCAGATCATGCAGATGCACCAGAAGAACGAGTTCAAGCTCGCGCAGAAGCAATGCACGAAAGAACAAAAGGAACACATACAGTTACAGCAACAGCGGGACGCGGACCCCAACGGCACGGCAGGGCAGCCCCCCCCCCCACCTGAGGAGCCGACCGAACCCAAGAAGGTGGACGAGCTGTACGACGCTGGAAGCACCTTTGGGATAGGTCAGATGATGAAGACACCATCTGGATGGGCTGCCTGGCTAAAGCATGACGCTCGCAAACTACTCAAAGAAACTCCTGGAAGGCGGGCCCAGCGGCTCGTTCGATGAGATTAACCAGCTTGCTGAGCACGCATGCTACAGGCACTTGCCCGCCAGCGAAAACTCGAAGTTCGCCATCTGGCTCATCCATCTTGAAGGTTGGAAGAAGCTTTACCCCCCGAGGCTGGCAAGGATGAGGACGACTCCGTTGCCGGGTTGGCCCGCTTCTTCGCCGCCCACTTCTCTGCAATGACCAACAAGCTGCCCCCCGCGGGCTGCTCCAAAGAAAGAGCCGAGCAACTTGTTGAGTCGGCCGCGTATTTCAACAGATTGACCTTCGATGGAATCGGCACTGCGTCGGTCAACATCCAACTGGTTCTTCAACGCTCGTTCATCCGGCACTCCCGCAGGGAAGACGAGAAGGAGAAGCCGGCGCGCTACAACAAACTCTTGGATTTGCAAACTCTCACGTTCGACGAGGAAGCTGGGGAAAATTACGTTGACGACTTCAACATGTGTTCAGACAAGGTAATTAAAGCTCAGTCCAAAGTGAAGACGCGAGTGGACGCAGGGAAACTCTCCAAAGAGAAAAGAATCTACTCCAATTTACCCCAACAATCGACCAGCTCGAAAAAGTCATCAAGTTCCTGTTGCCATCGGAAATGACAGAACCGCTGATTGAGGCACTAACGCTGGAGGAGCTCGTCATCCACCTGTCAAATGCCAAGATCGACGACCTTTTGACGTCCTTCCCGCCAGAGACCATCAGCGCCTACGCCACGCGGAATTCGGTGCTCGCAGGGAAGGTGATACGACGACGACGATGACGAGACATCGAGGCATGATGAGCATGATGAGGGAGGCGGAGAGGCAGGATGGGGCCTACTTCTCTTGTTCCCCTCTACGCTTTTTTGTTTTCCCCCTTTCGGCTGCATCACTGTTTTGCTTCCCCCTCTTCACTCTTTCTTGTCTCCCTCTCGGCTGGCCCGCACTCCTTCCTTTCCCCCTTCGGCCTCTGTGCGCCCAAACTGCGAGGACGTGTCGAGCGGTGGCCCACGAGCTTCGAGGATGCCTCGAGCGACGGCCCCCGAGTTCCGAGGATGCCTCGGGCGACAACCTCCGAGCTGCGACGACGTCTCGAGCGGCGGCGCCGGAGTTGCAAAGGCTGTCTGGAGCGGTGTTCCCCCCTGCACCCGTTTTTCCCCCTCTCGGCTGGCCCGCTCGCACCTCTTTGGTTCCCCCTTTCGGCCTCTGTGCGCCTGCATCGTGGGGCATGGGCGCGATCGGTGGCCCCCGAACTGAGGACGTCATGAGCGACGGCCCCCTGTTGCGACGATGTCTCGAGCGACTGGGGGGCCTCGGGAAGCTCCTGCGAGGCCCCCGAGGAGCCCCTGGCCGGGGGGAGGCCCAGGAGGCTCTGGAAGGGGGGGGGAGAAGGGGGGGCGGGGGGGGAGGGGGCAAAAGGGAGAACAGAGAAGAAGCGGAATCCGGGAGGGTGTGCCGGCCATGGGCCTGGGCTCCAGCACTCTGGAATTTGGGAGGCCGTTCGGGCCTTCTCCGCTGCCTCTGGGACTGCCTTGGGACCGTCTTGGCGCCCTCTAGGGGGTCTCTTGGGCCGTGTTGGGGCGATCGTTTCGGCCCGAGGCGAGGCTCATTTGCCTCCGCGTGGGGCGTACCTCGACCAAGTCTTCCAGGGGCTCAAGAAAATAGTGACAGTTGCGCGGTTGCCAGTGCTCAGGAATGACGAAGTCTCGTTTGGGTCCCCGTGGGGCTTCGCTCCGCTGGACCTCCCAGCAACTGACGAAAGTCGTGACAGTTGCGCAGTGGGCAGAGCCCAAGCAGGCAGGTGTCCCACTTAGGTCCTGCTAAGACGTCGCTCCGATGAGGCTCCGAGTAGCTCACGAAAGTGGCGCCTGTTGCGCAGCTGGCAGCACCCAGGCAGGGCGGGGTCCCACGTAGGGCTCTGTAGGACGTCACAGCACTCGGCCTCTCAGGAGCTCACGAAAGTGGCGATCAGCTGCGCAGTTGGCAGCACCCAGGCAGGGCAGTTGCGCAGTTGGCAGCCCCCAGGGAGGGCGAGGTCCCTTTTCTGGGCTCGCGTGGGACGTCACTCGGCTGGACCTCCCAGGAGCTTACACAAGCGGCAACATCTGCGGACCTGGCAAGGTCCCTTTCGGGTCCCCGAGGGGCGTCACTCCGCTGGGCCTCCCAGGAACTTACGGAAGTGGTGGACATGTAGGTTGTTACACGTGTTCGTGGCCTCAGAAGCGCGGATCCATGGTTCGTTATTCGGAAACGTGGCATCAGTGGCGTTGTATAATGTATTATTTCTTTGGCTAGGGATCGTGACTTCGGAAGCGCGGACCCATAGTGCTTTACACATGATCGTGGACCCTGGAGCGCAGATGTGTTTTGAGACGAGGCGTCGTGGGCTCGGGGGCGCGGATACATAGTTCTGTGAAGAGGGATGAGGCCGTATTGGGTGCCGTATGAAGAACAATCGCGCGCGCTTCGCGCGCACTCAAGTTCTAGCTAGCTTGAAGGATAGCGCGTAGCGAAGGATAGCGCGATGCGGCTCTTGGGCCGTCTCGGGGCTCTCTTCGAGCCTGTTTTGGGCTTCTTGGGGGCCTCTTGGGGCCTCTTGGGGGCTTCTTGGGGCCTCTTGGGGACTTCCTGGGGGCCTCTTGGGGCCTCTTGGGGGCATGTTGGGGCGGAAAGCTTGATTTTTCAGTTCGCGTTCCCTCTCTTGGGCCCCTCTTGGGGCCTTCTTGGGACCCTCTTGCGCCGTATTGGGCGGCACTGGAGCCGTTTCGGGGCTCTCTTAGGCCGTCTTGGGGCCCTCTTGGGGGCCTCTTGGGCCGTGTTGGAACGGTTTTGGGAGCCTCTTGGGCGGTGCTTTAGCGCTGGAAACACGAAACAGCGAGAATGCAAAAATAACATTGGACAAAAAACAATGAAAATCAACGTGTTTGCCCTCTCGGGGCGCTCTTGGGCGGCATCTTAAAGGCCTCTTGGGGCGTCTAGGGGGCCTCCGGGGCAGTTTAAAACGCATCGTGCGTCGCCAAAGACCCCTGGACGGCGTCTTCGGGGTGTCTCGAGACCGTCTGGGGCCGCCGGGATTGCTGTCTGAGGGCTCCCCAGGGCGATTTTAGGCTTCCCAGAGGCGGGCCCGGGCCCTGGGGCCAACATTTGCGGTGAAGGTTCTGGCCCTCGGCCACCGGGCCCGGTGCGCCGTTATGTGTATATGCGATACGATGCTATGCTATGCTATGCTATGCTATGCTACGCCATTATGTGTGATGCGATGGTATGCTATTATATGCGATGCGATGCTATGCGATGCTATACTATATTATGCTATGCTATGCTATGCTACGCCATGCTCTTCTATGATGTGCTGTGCGATGCTATGCAGTGGTCTGCTCTGCTATCCGATGCAATGTTATGTTGTAGCTCCAGTTGGCCCCCCCTTCCTCCCCCCTTCACCACACACACACAACCTCCTTATCACCCGAAGGGTGGTCGTACATGTAGGTATGAACTGACAGGATCTCGCGGCCAGAGACGCAACCGCCTCGCGCAAACTTGCCTGAAATGGGAGCGATCTGGGAGGAGCGGGGAGGGGTGCGGAGTGGGGTGTCTTGTGGGCCTCTTGGACTGTCTCAGAGCGCTCTGGGATCAACAGGCGCCTACTGAGGCCGTCTTGGAAGGCTCTGTGGGACGTCTTGGGGCGATCCTGCGGGCTTCTTGGGCCGTCTTGGACGCCTTTTTGGGATGTCTTGCGGCGATCTTGGGGTTATCTCAGCGCCTTCAGGCCCTCCGAAAGCCCCCCGAAGGTCCGTAATAAGACCCGGACCCCGAGGGACACAGTGGGCACCGCGGTGGGGGGGGGGGGGGGAGTTTTGGAAAAGTGGGCCGCCTCGGGCCCCAGAGGCCTGGTCGCAGGGTCCGCATGGTGATGGGCAACTATGATGAGCGCTTGCGCGCTGCAGTCAGAGCCACCTTGAGCCAAAATGGCTACGGATACTCGTGGAGCGTCTTTTGGGGCCCCTTTGGGGCCTCGTAGGGCCTCTAGGGGGCCTCTAGGGGGCCTCTTGGGCTCTGTTGGGGGCCTCTTGGGGCCTCCTGGAAGCCCCTTGGGGTGGAAGGCTCGAATTGTCGGTTCTCCCCCTCTTGGGCCCCTCTTGGGGCCGTCTTAAAACCGTCTTGGGGCCCTCTTGGGCGATCTTGGGCGCCTCTTGGGCCGGCTTGGGGCACTCTTGGGCCGTCTTGGGACTCTCTTGCGCCGTCGTGGCGCACTCTTCGGGTGCCTCTCAGGCCGTCTTGAGCTGATTGCTGGGGCCTCGTGGACCGTCGGAAGCGCGAAACAGCGAGAACACGAAAAACCTTAAACCCAGTCAGCAAGAAAAACATACTTGTTCGCCTCTTGAATGCCTCGCGGGAGTCCTTTTGAGGGCATCTTGGCCGACTTGAAACCCTCTTGGGTACAACGCTCTTGTGCGGTTTTGGGCTCTCCTGGGGCGCTCTTGGGCCATCTTGGCGCCTTCTTGGACGTCTCGCGGCTCCTTTTGACGTTTTTTGGCGCCCCTCGCTGGGCCCGAAACGGCCGGAAGGCAAATCAGTGCACTTTGGAGGCCCCAGGACCCCCTACTCATTGTATGTATGTATATATATGTGTGTGTACATATGCCCATATGTATATGCGTATATCTATGTGTATATATACACATCTATATAGATGTCACGCAAGCTACCGAACAACACAAACTTGCAAATGACATGTGCAATTGATCCTCCCGTACGTGCTACGTGATGTTCGCGCATGGTTGCGCTTTCGTGCGATTCCCTATCACACCACGTCGCATTCACGCCGGAGGCATGCCAGCTTCAAGGTTGCTGGAGCTCGAACTGGCTCAACCAAATCAAAGATGATTCGAGTGCCAGACGGCATTGTCGGGGCATGGCGGACATCCACCGCTGGGCTACGGGGGACCTAGCACCACTGTCGCATGACAACAAGTGGTGATCCAGGATCCCCTGTCAAGAGACTACACGCCATAAGGCTGAATGAAGAGGCCAGTGAACAGACGCCCCCACCCTCGCCCCAGCCCCCTCCTCTCACTGGCGGGGCCTCATGGCACCAAGCATTCAATGTCCGCAAGACGGACCCAGTGAACTTGAATTTCCGACGGACGCCTGTAGGTCAGTCAGGCACCGCCGCAAGACCTAGTGAAATCGTTTTGAACCCTTGCAGATTCAAGCGAAGAGGAGAAGGAGGAGAAGAGCAAAGGAAGGGAAGGGTTGGAGCCGCCAGGAGGTGTGAACTTGATGGACCCCCAGAGAATGTGTCAAGAAGGGGTAAAGGCAAATCCGCACAAAAACTGTTCCCAGACCCCTCCCCGGGTCCATCTGGTGCAAATTGTCATCCCGGATCTGTTTTTGACGGTCTCGGGACCCGAAAACGGCTCCCAGAAGCCAGAGAAGGCAAAAACCCTCTCGACCCCAGGACCTCGAAACTCGACTCCCCCCTTCCTGCTGGCCAGAAACAATGCGAGACCACCTCAGACCCCCAGCCGACTCCAAAGGAAGGGAGGAAAGGAAAGGGGACGGGAAGCGAGGAGCGCTTATAGAGTCCCGACCCAGAGCGGCAGTCGACCTGGGATCCCTTCCCATCCGTAAGGCCCCAAACCTCGGGCCCCAGTAGATGAACCGCCAGGGGGAGGAGGAGGAGGAGGAGGAGGAGGAGGAGGAGGAGGAGGAGGAGGAGGAGGAGGAGGAGGAGGAGGAGGAGGAGGAGCCAATGAATGAACTGGCGAGAAGAAGGGGCCGAGAGTTGGGGGGCCCAGCGCCCAGCGCCGTGTGGTGACGGACCGCGTGGTGACCTCGGAAACCCCACCGACCTCACCGCGCGGTCCGTCATCGCACGGTCTTGGGACCCTGAGGCTCAGGCCGCCCGAGACGTCCTCGGAAAACGACCCGAGTCCCAAAACCGTGCGGCGACCAATAACAGAGCCTTTTTTCCCAACCACCTTGTGGTGTTGGGTCCTCGTCATGAAGAAACAGCGCCGCGCGTCCTCTCACCTCCTCCCGCCCTCCTCCCCCTCCTCCCTCCTCCCTCCTCCCCCTCCTTGCCTCTGCTCCCCGCATCAGTCTACCATGTCGGCACACCCCTCAGACGTGTTGTGGCCCCTATCGGGATCTCCACTGGAGGCAACAATGGGAAAGTTCGTATGGCACCGCCGCCCCATTTCGGCACACCCCTCACACGATTCGCGGCCCCATAGGGAGATCCACCTGAGGCCACAGTGAGAAAGTTCGCATGGCACCGCCGCCCCACTTTGGCACAGCCCTCACACTTTTCGTGGTCCCAGAGGGAGCTCCACCCAAGGCCACAGTGGGAAATGTTGCCGGACACCGCCGCCCCATTTCGGCACACCCCTCACCCGCTTCGTGGCCCCATGGGAAACACCACCGAATACGAGATTCACAGTTGCGGCACTCACAACTGCATATGGTTGGGTCATTCCCCAGGCTATATCATTGTCATGCTTCGGGGGAGCGGCCGTTACCGGCCTCGGCCACCCCCACCCAGAGGTAAAGTCACGATCGTGCTGGACTCCCAGACGGCTCGGGAGGGCTCCAAGAAAGCTCCCAGAGAGCACCCCAGCAGTGGCACCCAAGAGGGCCCTTTGGGTGCCACCCAGAGGAGCCCAAGAGCAGCTTGTTGGCCCTCTTGGAACCATCTTCGAGGCGTCTTGCAGCCCTCTCAAAGACCCCATCCGTATCCAAAAGAAGCCCAAGAGCACGCCAGGAGGGACCCAACAACACTCCAAGAGGACCCGAAGATGGCACCCCGACAGTGGCACCCACGAGCCCCTCTTGGGTGCCAGCTGGGTGGCCTTTTGGGGGCCCTCCTGGGGTCCTCTTGGGCCTCCTCTGGTCTACTCTCGAGGCCCCGTTGGGCTTCTCTCAGAGCCCTGCTGTGACCGACAAACTTTCTCAGCCGCCCGTCGGGCCGCTAAGATTAACTGCGCGCAGCTGATCTCATAACTGGATATCGTTTGACCGACCCTTATCCCCACTGGCGTGGCCCTCGTCCCACTGAGCGATTGACCCCCCCCGCACGGTGGGATGTATGCCGTCTCCCTCGGGTTTCAGGGGGTAAATCTTTACCTCGGCGGCGGGGCGAAGGGTAGGTTGGTAGGAGGCTCAATGGGGGTTGGGGTCGGTTAGCCGATACTGAATCACCTCCGCCGGTTTCCCTCCCCTCCCCCCACCACCCCCGACGTCGCGACTTTTTCCCAACGGCGGCCCTGGATTTGTAAACCTCTTCCCCGGGATCAGCTATATCCGGCTTTATTATCTTGAGCTGTGTGTTCGCTCAAGAAGACCAATGAGATTGTGAAGCCTGAGAACGGCCGAAAACGTTCCGTCGTCGTCGTCGTCGCCCGAAGGCTTCATGAATCCAAGTCCCAGAAGCCCTTTTCGGAACCAGAATGGTGGGAATGTCTTGGGGGCTGCTTGCGGCGTTCCGTCGTCGTCGTCGTCGTCGTTGTCGTCGCCTCTTGGGGAGGCCTTTCGAAGGCGCAAGGAATGATGTCCCCGGAAAGCTTGTTGGCAACATGAATATTGGAAGTGTCTTGGAGGACTGCGTGGGGCGTTCCGTCTTCATCATAGCCTCTTGGGAACCATGCTGGGGGCCTGATGAATCATGCTCCTGGCAGGCCTTCTAGGAACATGATTTTGGGGCGTATTCCAATCTTGGAGGGCTGCATTGGCGTCGGCCATGCCTGGGGCCTGATGAATCATGTTCCCACAAGGATTTCTGGGAGCATGATTTTTGGGAATGTCTTTGGGGGCTGCTTGGGCCAGTCCGTCGTCGTCGTCGCCTCTTGAAGAGCCATGTTGGGAGCCCGATGAATCATGTTCCCGCACGGACTGTTGGGAACATGAATTGTGGGAATGTCTTGGGGGGGCCTGCTTGGGGCGTTCTGCCGTCGTCGTCGCCTATGTTCGGGCGTTCCGTCGTCGTCGTCGGCCACCGATTACCGCGTACCTTTAGAAAAACTGGCCGGGAAACCTGTGAAAGACCGAAAAGGACGAGGAGGACCAGGCAACGAGGGGAAGAAGAAGAGCAGGAAAATGGCGCAGTCAGGAGATGTTACAAATATCGTCATCCGATGGACCCCCTCCTGGTCCCTCCGGGGCCTCCCCCTGGCCGCTCAAATTATCTAGAGGCCTTCGGCCCATCCTGCCTCTTGGAAGCAGTTTCGAAGCCTCTCGGGGCCGGTTTTGTCGGCCTCTTGGGGCCCCTTGGTGGCCTCTTGCATCTTGGGAGTGTCTTGGGGCTTCCTGGGAATGGATTATTCGGGCGGAACTCGTTATTTATCGAGAATCCGAGGTGGGGGGTCGACTTTCCTCGAGCGGGCACGCGCGAAACGCATTTTTTCACGCCAAATCGGACTTTACCTCGTTTCGTTATCGAGTGGAAATCTGCCGGCCCTCTTCCGGGGGGAATAAACCAACTAAAAGAGAACCCTAGTGGAAAAAGGA